TGTGATGTATTTTATTAACCAGCAACTCAATAAAATATGATATGGGATACTTGTAATCACAGTACCTTTTGGAATACTTGCAGGGCATCATTTAGTACAAAACCAGATTCCCCCAAACTGCTACAATAATAACAAAAATTATGTCTTAATTCTCCTGATCATATCTGTTCAACAAATTTTCCTTGAGAGGTAATACTCAAGAAGAAAGATTTTTATTTTTATGAGAAAACAATTGCATTAATTTTAAATTAATTAACTAGTTTCAATGCAAAAGTAATTGTTACTTTTGACTTCTGACAGTTCGAGGAGTTATCAACATTACATTTGTTTTTTAAAAAGTTTGTATAAAAACTGATGACATCAAAAAAGTATTGCAGTGGTGATCCAACACTTTGTTGGATCACCACTGGAGTTTAATCCTAGTGACCATTTTGTTCTTGGTCACCTCAGACTTGTTTTTATAGACTAATTATTTTTGTTGGACTGGAAGATTTAAGAATGTTATTAATAACATTCTATGGATTTATTAGTGGTGCCTAATAAATCCACAGCTCTTTTTAATTGTAAGGTTCTTTACATTTCTGCTTTGTCAAAGTCTATTCTCTGAGAAGCACAGGAAAGCAGCTTAAGGATGACCTGTAGGAATCAGATCCACTTGAGATATACTCTGGGATTTTTAGAAATAATTTGAGTGACAATGTATATATCACATTTAATCAAGATACTGATCAGTTATCAGTATCTATAGATTACAATTGATAAGGCCATATAATAGATACATTTTTAGGAACTGATTCTGGAAAGAACTGACTGATTTTCCCAACTGTATTAATTAATTGTTTTATGCACAGTTTGGATGGTTTATGCTGATATGAATGTTATATAAAAATTGCTTCTTTTGTGTCTTTCACAACTGCCATCCAGCTTTATAGAAGCTTGATAGAAACTCCTGGTACTCTGTACTTTAACAACTTAATTTTAAAGTTTAACAAAAAAAAAAAAAAAAACAAGAAAAAGAAAAAACTTTATACAGAGTGATTTAATTGTTTTCTGCCTTCATTCTGTCTAGTATTTTTAGTCTACATAGTCTTTTTTTCTTTAAATGATAAGTTTATTAAAAAGGTTTTAGTTAAAAGCTCCAAAATTACTGGTGAAATCACTGTAGGGAGCATTGATGAGAGCTGGTCTGCTCTGTAGTAATCGCTTGTGATATGGGGGACCTGCAGTACTCCTTCAGCCTTTAGTGATGTGAACAGATTTCATTTTGGCTTGAACAGAGCTCTCCAGTTAAGTGTTTGTACTTTGAGTAAATAAAGGTTGGCTCCTGGGTTGCCTCTGACTGACACTGAGCCAGAAAAACCAGGCCATAGGGCTAACCCAAACAAAACACTTCCATCTGTAAGCATTGCTCTCCACGACTCCCAAAAGACCTGATTGATCCACAGGCCAATCAGAGTACATTGATCACATATTCTGCCTCCCTTCTACCAGCTCCTTTATACTTCATTCTAGTACATTCATTTACTCCCTGTCAGAAGTACAGTGTTCCCCAGGAGGGTCATTGCTGTAAAGACTCACAGTTTGGCAACCTTTTCTTTTTACAGAGCCTCATTTGGAAAAAGCTGTTGTGGTGGATTTCTTCTAAAACAGAAAATGTGCTTACACTTCTATAATATAACCTTATTGTTTTTATTTATAATTTAATAATAAAAAACTTAATCAATATTTAGTTAGAGATTATGAGCCATGAGAAGAAATTCTCATGCCAGCATTAACAGTCTGTGAAAGCCCCATATATGTTCACCCTCTGATGGTGAGCACCACATGGCACAGCTAAATATGCTGCTTAAGCAACATAATAATCATTTATTAAGAAACTGTATCATTTTTAAGTTTGGTATACACTGTTAATCTATTTGCTGGGTGAGTCAATGTGCTGGACTATAATATTAGCAGACAAACAGTTTAAATAGTTGACATTTTAACGTTCCAGGCAACACAAAATAAGTTACAAACCTACTTTTTACTGCAACTGCAACTGTCAGAAAAATGACCTTTCACCTTTGCAACATGTCTTCCCCTTATCTCAAGACTAATTTTTCTATCAATCTACTGTGATTGTAGATTGACAGTGTAGATTGATTGTATTGTAAATAAAGGCCACTATTAAAAAGATATTCTTTATAAACAATGAACAAATCTTTCAAGAGAATCCACTTTCAGTCAATTTTCCAACATGCCACATGACAAAGGTTTTGTTTCAGTTTATTTATTTTGCAGTGTGCAGTGTTGCTAATAAAATTCAGACTTCATTTAATTGTTCAGATAATTTAGATAAGCTAACTTGTATAAGAAGTTAGATGCAGTTGAAACTTGACTTTTGCATTCACTGCAAAAAAGACACGTACACCGCTACAGTGCGTGACCTCTATTATATCCCTCTTACTGGCAGTCATTTGAGTGTGGTGATTTTTCTTCTTTTATGGAAATTCAGTTCTAAGAAGTTTGTTTGAATGTGCCTTTAAACTGTGTGAAAACCTTGCAACAAGAAATCATTTTTTTTCCCTTGGTAAGGTCTCTATGTGGTTCATAATGGAGTGTGATGGCTCACAAACACTTTGAAACGTGCATAAATCTTTCATAGTGAGACTGTGGTGGTTTATATTTGTGATGGATGCATATCAGTGGTGCTGACAGTGGTGAAAGCATGTTCATTACACAGGGCCAGTGCAATTGTGTGGTTTCTAATAATCTGTGGGGGAATATTTCTGCTATGTTCCAACAGCACACATTTTCCATCTGAAAGCAGAATTTCATGTCTTTTGTTCTCAAAAGGTTTAATATTTTTGCTTACATTTTTATTTTGAAAGCAGGACTTGATGTCTTTTACCTCAAAACTTATAATGCCTGTACTCAAAACTTATCCTCACGCTCTGTTATAATCTCTGCTTAGATTCTCTGCTCGCCTACAAAACATTAGCAGTGTCTATATTCAGAGTCTGCGTCCTTCAAAGGACGGATTTGTAGACTGTCTGGGTCATAGTGTGGTGACAAGGCCTTTCTGAATTCAAAGACTCTTTCAAATGTGGTCTTCACATGCATCCACCTTTTCACCAGATTCGAAGGATGGGTCCGGTGTATCCTTCATTCCCCACCATGTCCCATAATTCATTGTGGGCCCAAATGGGCAATTCAGCCTTCGAACAGCTCCTTTAGATTTCATTCTAGTACATTCATTTACTCCCAGTCAGATGTACAGTGTTCCCCAGGAGGGCCATTGCTGTAATTTGACCGTGAAGTGCATCAAATTATTTTGTTATAATTTTGCTATATATTTTGCTATAAAATGAGGCAAAAATATAAGTATGTAAGTCTCACATATCTGCTCGGTTCTTCAATACATAACCTAATTGCACTATTGCTCCAACATTTTGGGAGATGTCTGTACCTAAAGCATTAATAACCAGCTCCCCTCGCCAGCTGTCAGCTGGCTGGGCATTCCAGGTTCAGTTTACTGGCAGAGAACGCCTGATTGTTATAAAAACTCCTGCTAGCTTTCCCCAGCTTTCCCCAGTGAAGTTAAACACCGATATTATTCAGAGAGGTAATATCTAGTTGTAAAATGTTTGGTTCACTAAAGTATTTCATTTATTTCTGACCAAATTGGTTCTTCAAACAGAGAAGTTTTATTTTACTGTAATGTCTTATCTGAGACATTACAGATAATATTCTCCAGCCTTCAAATCTGGAGAATATTATATCTGGAAATGAATTATTTGCTTATATTTATTCCTGGTGAAAATGTGCAATACATGTTTGATCATTTTAGAATCAAACTAAAAGATTGCATTTGTTTTACAATGGAATACACTTTACTATAAAAGGTCAAGAATAATACATAATTTTGGCTTTGTTGTTCTTTTCTTCGCGACTCTCTGTTTCACGCTGTCACAGTTGCTAGGCAGCATGAGTTACACTGAGGTGGTGGGCAGGGTTAGTTGGTGAGGGGTAGACCGGTCCGAATTCAAAACTTTTTTCTTTCAGTCTTTGTTCATTCGTAGTCTTTGAATGACCTGTCCTTCATTGACCTTCCAAGGATACAGACCTTGAATTTGGACACGGATATTTTCTGCTTGGTTTTGAAACAGAAAATGCACTGTCGCTTGGCAACCTCCCCGCCAACAGAATGAAAGTATTGTTCTGTGTGTGTTTGTTTCCTTCTAGCGGGTGTACTTGTGTGGCTATCAATTGTAGCAACCTGCACCACCCACTTCAGCAACCGCTTCAGCTTTCTGCTCCGGGTTACACTAAACATCTGACAGTAGGCAGTAGTTTGTTCACCCAACCAACTCCCTCCATCCAATGGCTGACGCAGTTTGCTACAATCGATAGTACAAACACACGAGAAGGCAACAAACACGCCACGTTATTACAACAATTTAATTCCATTGGCTGAGAGGTTGCCAGGTGATGGTGTCAAAAGGTGGCTCCAAAAACAGGCAGAGAATGTTTTGTAAGTGAGCAGCGAATTCTGCAAGTGAGTAGAAACATGACAAGTTTTGAGAAGAAAAACATAGAGTTCTGCTTTCAGAAAATGTAAGCAAAAGTATCAAATGTTTTGAGAACAAAGACATGTAATACTGCTTTCAGACTGAAAATGTGTGCCCTGGAATTATGGCAGAAAAATTCCCCCATATTATTTTAGATTGTAAGTAATTTATTCACTCAAATGTTTTGGTTTTTTTACACAGCTGGATCATGGCTCGGGTTGTTGCTTATTTTACAACTTAAAGATCTGGAGTCAAATCTCGATTGGGGGCGTTTTGTTAAAACTTATTATGAAATGTTTTAAGTTGCAAACCAGAAATTTTTATTAGTCTGTTCTTATGAGTCCAACTGAAGTGTTTCACCAGTTTTTATAGTGTAACAACTGGAGTTGATGATTGAATTTCTTTTTATTTGTTTTCAACAGCTTATAATTCTTCTGTTTTCTTTCACAGGAGGGATATTTGAGTCCATTGAAAGTGGTCCTTCGGGTGCCGAGGAACTTGCCTTCAAATTTGCTTTAAACACAATCAACAGGAACAGAACCTTACTGCCAAACACTACTCTCACCTATGACATCCAAAGGATAAACATCTATGACAGCTTTGAAGCCTCAAGGAAAGGTATGTGTTTATAGTTAGAAAGCTTTATGGGCTGAGATTATGCTCATTATGGTCAAGCAGTGAAACTGTGCTCAGTTGTGGACATTTGAAAACAGAAAACTGATTAGCTTTTTCTAATTACTCATTATCTGCCCATAAATATGTGTATGTATTTGCGTCAGTGTGATATTTCGACTCTTTGCTCAATGAAAGCCCACAATATTCTGTCTTGATGACTTATAGAAGTCTCTTTTATTAAATGTGCTCTGAAAAATAAAGCTAATACATAGATAGATAGTTGTTTAGGTTTCACCCAACTGCACTCAAATCATCTCAGGAACACTTTCAACTTCATGTCATGGAAACAAATTCAACCTTGAATTTGCTTCCATGCAGCATTTCATACATGCTGCAACAAAATATAAAACAAACACTGACTGTATTTATTTGAGCAATTAAAATAATCCTGCTTATGGCCCAGAATATTATTGCTTTTTGATGTTCTTCCCTTTATGGGGTAAAACTGAAACCTACAGCAATGTTAGCTGGCTAAGAAGCCAGTTAACATTAGACCATGGCCAGATGTAACAGACATGTTACAGACATGCTACTTTAGACTTTAAATATTAAAGAACTCCTTTAAATTTTGCTCTAAGTCTCATTAGTTTTCATTCCATAACTTCCTGAACACATAGTCTTCTTTCTTGGAAAGAAGAGAACTAACAGAAACCTAAGAGGGTGAAACAGGATTTCAAAAGGGCAAATGTGGAGAAGCATGAGCAATTCCAGAACTTTCTTTTACATTTTATACATTTTTTTATAACTTCAACTATTACAGCTCTTATCTTATGTTAATGCCTCATGAACTTAAGATAAGAGAAATATATAGTACAGATAACAAATGTCTTAAGATGCCCCTCATTTGTTTACTTTCTTTACAATAGTTTACAGTTGGACTAGGTTAAAATCCAATGAAAAGAAACTCTGATGTCAGAAATAATGTAGAATTTTGTTTTCAATAGATTCGTTTTAAATTTGTGTAAAGGCTTGGTACAACACAACTTCTGTAATAGGCTAATAAATCTAACTTAACAAGTGGAACAGTTTTAGATTGTAAATGTTCTGCAAAATACAAGTATATCACTAATTACTCTGTTTCCTCTCTTTAGCTTGTGACCAGCTTTCTCTTGGTGTGGCAGCCATCTTTGGCCCCTCTCACAGTTCCTCTGCTAATGCAGTCCAGTCAATTTGCAATGCTTTGGGTGTCCCACATATTCAGACCAAGTGGAAGCATCAAGTATCAGACAACCGAGACACCTATTATGTGAGCCTGTTTCCAGACTTCTCCTCCCTCAGCCGGGCTATTCTGGATCTAGTCCACTTCTTCAAATGGAAGACAGTGACTGTGGTTTATGATGATAGCACTGGTAAGAGTATTAACATGTCCTCTTTTGCATTGGTTCCCAGTATTAATCAATTTTTGAAATTTTTCTAGAGATTATTCTTAATTGCTTAAGTTTTTTCCAGACTAAATGGGAATATGAGTTCCAAATATTAGTAACGAGTAGTTAACTAGTGAGTATTTATAATTCACACAATAAATTTTAAAAACAAATACATTGTATATATTCTTTTTAAGCTTACTGTCACGTTCTGTCAATAAGCTTTTAACCCACATTCACAATCAATAAGTGGACTGAATGGCTGAATGACAATCAATGTTTATTTACAGTATTTACAAGCTTTCTCTGTGTGAGCCTGTTTCCAGACTTCATGGGGGGATTTGGGTTCAGTGATGCCTGGAGATGAAACTAAATTAATAACTGAAGGTTTGGGTTTGACAAGGAAATTCTTTGAATGAGGAAGTTAAAAAGGTTTGTTATGATTTGGAAGAGGAATATGAACAATGGGGAGAAGTTTTAAATCTGTCGGTGAGATCATAAATGGTCCAGTTTGCCATATAAGGTTAGAATTAGGGAACATGGAGTTCAAAGGGCAAGAGAGTACCAGTACAGAGGGATTATCAGGTGAGGTCACGTTGTGTCAGCACCCACTGTACTGTGCATGTCGCCTTCAGAATTCAAGTAAGAATATTTTATTCTAACTATTTAAACCATTTACAATTAGGCTAATAAAATAATATACAACTCACATCCACCATAGATCACTTCTCTTTGGCAGGTGCAACTCCCACACAAAGCTTTATTTAAAGTTGTCAGAAGTTGTTTTTTTGAAGCACAGATTCACTGTACCTCACACTGCCGACCATTCAAGCCGCTAAATTTTTGATTCTGAAAGCTTACTTTATTACCCGCCTTGATACATGCAGCTACATTTTCGTTATCCCTCTAATTATGACCAAAATATGAAGAAATGATTGCATCTTATATCTCCTTCATATGAATATTAATTTCTTTTTTCAAACTAAATACTTCCATTTTAGGAATGGTACCCTTTTGCTCACCATATATATTTAGAGGGACTCGACATATCAATAACTGATGATCTTACCTTGAACAAATTGCTTTAACATTGCTGGAAAGTAATATCCGACTTATTTAACAACTCACCTGCATTTAATACTAATGGTCCATTACGATGCATCTCATGTCAATTTTTTAGAATAACTTATTTTGTCACATTGTGATAAACAGTTGCAGACAACCCTAACCCTAGCTAATTGTAAAACAACACAATAAATATGGGTAACCATGGTAACCAGTGAGCATCTGAAACTCTTTCAGCAGTCATGCACACTCACTGTATTTACAAACAATCAATCCCTCTATAGATTAATCACCAGATGCCTGATGCTTCTCCAAAATCTCCTTATATCCAGCATCAGGCCTTCAACATTAAAGCCATGGATGTACTAAAGGTTACTAATCAAATTTGATGCATTAAATGCATCGTTTTTCTTTCTTTCAACATTTATGAATTGGGTAATTGATATTGTATTTTTTAAATTACTATTGAAATTATGCCACGTTTTCTGATATAAGGGATTTTTAAAATGTCTTACCCAGTTGGAAAGCTGTTTTCTTCAATTATACTGACGCCACTCGAACACTGTGTAGGTCTCGTTTTGTTTTTTTGTTTTTTGGGTTAGATGGCCACACCATCTAACATGTTATCGGTGCTATAACATGTTAGATGTCATACAGCAACACCAAGCTGATAAGAATAACTCAAAACTTCTTGTTAGCGACTAATAAATATTGATCCTGTAATTATTTTGCAGCCCTTGTAATAGGCCTAAGTGAAATTATAATGATAAATTATTATTATTATAAGTATACTCACAAAAACACTGCATGAAAAATTATTTAGTAACAGAGACTATTCATATTTGCCTAATTACTACAAACTAATATAGGAGGTGGCAGTTGATAATATATTGAGCCGTTTGGGAGCCAAAATTGTCTGTTCTTTGTTGAAAGGCCAGCTCTCTGAAAAGAGATCTTCTCAGTGGCTTTTACCGCCATTTATTTGTAAAATACTGAACATCACTCTGATTAGCTGTTGTGTTAGTAGGTTGTCTTTGACGGTGAATAATTATTAATTTCTTAAGGCTAAAATTTATAAAAATAATTCAACATTTCAGTCTCAGTTTTACCATATATAGCATACCCATACCATACACAGCTGCATGGAATAGAAATTCAACTTCTTTCAAACAAAGCAGAGTTGAATGAAACTTATAGTTACACTTACAATTTGTTGAATACATTACTTACCTAACAAATTCACTAATGACACTAATAATGATTAAACTAAGACTGCTAAAGATAAAATACTAAAATCTAAAAATAGACAAAAATAGAACCAATAAAATAATGCAATGATGTCACAGTTCAGTCTGAATTGTGAGTATTAAGAAATTTATTTCAGGAGGATTTTTGAGTTTATTAATTACAGAATAAATTTGACATAAATATACTGTCTTTTCATCATACAGCAACACCAAGAATATACAACAAGAAATAACGGCCAAACTTGTGTTGTATTCTGCATAAATTTCCTTATGCGAAATTCTGAGCAAACCAGAATCCAGATTTATTCATTTGGCAAATCAATACAGTACAGTCAGATGTGTTTTGGATACAAAACTCCTAAGCAAGGAGTGACCTTCTTCCACTAGTGAAGAGAAAGAGAAAGTCTTTGTCCAAGGAGTGGGGTTTATCCCGGGTCAGGCCCCAGGGGTAGCAGCTTAAGAAGGGAGGCCCAGACTTCCGTCTCCCCAACCACTTCTTCCAGCTCCTCCAAGGGAACCCCAAGGTGTTCCCAGGCCAGCCGGGAGACATAGTCCCTCCAGTGTGTCCTGGGTCTTCCCAAGGGACTCCTCCCTGTGGGTCGTGCCTGGAACACCTCACCAGGGAGGCGTACTGGAGGCATCCTGACCAGATGCCCGAGCCACATCAACTGGCTCCTCTTGATGTGGAGGAGAACTGGCTCTACTCTGAGTCCCTCCTAGATGACCGAGCTTCTCACCCTATCTTAGAGGGAGAACCCAGCCACCCTACGGAGAAAATTTTTTTCGGCCGCTTGTATCTGCGAGCTTGTTCTTTCGGTCATGAACCAAAGCTAATGACCATAGATGAGGGTAGGAACATAGATCGACCGGTAAATCGAGAGCTTCGCTTTTTGACTCAGTTCCGTCTTCACCACAACGGACCGGTACACCGCCCGCATCACAGCAGACGCTATGCCAATCCACCTGTTGATCTCCCGCTCCCTTTTTCCCTCATTCGTGAACAAGATCCAGAGATACTTGAACTTCTTCTCTTGGGGCAGGTCACCCCCAAACCTCCTCTTGACCCGGAGAAGGCATCCTATCCTTTTCTGGCTCAAGACCATGGGCTCGGACTTTGAGTCACTGATCCTCATCCTGGCCACTTCACACTGGGTTGCAAACTGCTCCAGCAAGAGCTGATGGAGTCAATAGGACCACATCATCCACAAAAAAACAGAGATGCATCCATCCATCCATTTTTTAATACTCTTAAGCCTACTGGGATCACCGGGGGGTCAGGGGTGCCTGTCTCCAGGGGGTGAAAGGCAGGGTGCACTATGACTTGGTACCATTATCATAATGCAATAAGTCCAGTCATAAAAAATATCTTGCTACTAAATATTCCACACTAAGACGCAGCAGATGAAAACTTGATATCATAGACATTCATGATCTACAAATAACATGCAACCATGATTGCATTAGTTAAATGAGGAGAATAAAGGATGCATTAATTTACCATGTCTGCCTTAGTAAAAATGCAAAACTTGAGCTGTTCATCAGAAAGCGCAAAATACTGGGAGGAGGATATGCAAAATACAATTTATTTTGATTGCTTTTTCATTGTTTTCACTGTCGTATAGTATCATGATATATACTTATTTAAATCAAATGAAATAGTATTACTATTATAGTTATTATTAATATAACACCTCCAGGCTTTCAACTTTATCTTTCTTTTATGGCTTATTTGCTCTTCAAAACTCTCCATGATGACTGCTGGCATCACACAAAATCCTAATGAAAAGTGGAAGAGCTCCACCACTTTTATCTGTAATCAACTTCAACCACAACCTTTGTCAGTTGTGCAACATGCCCACCTACGGCACATGCAGTATTTTTTTCCCACAACTTAGTACTTCTTATTTGTAATCTTTTCATATCATGCCTTAAAGTTTCAGTGATATTAAACAAAGTAGGAATGGTTGTGAATGACAGGATCTATGCCACAAAGTGACTTTGTGAAATAACAGCAAGATCAGTGGATGATGAAAGGCAAAGTGTACAGATATGTCTCATTTTCTGAAAAGATACAAACCTTTAAACTTCTGGTGTTTTTTACATAAACTCAAGAACAAGCTGTAGAGATCCTCACGGATTCAGTTTTCCATGGCCAAGTAGCTGTATCAAATTCTTCAAAAAAAAGCAGATGGAGTGCAGTAGAGTCACAGATGTAATCTCTGGGTTTGGAAGCTTCCTGGAGGACAGAACATGTCTAATTGCCCTGACTTCAATATGTTTCTCTTTGTTGCTGTGAAGCTAACTCTGAGTGCCTCAGCATGCAAAGGCATATCAACAATTGGCATTTGCATCCTGTCCAATACAGAAAAATTAGAAAATGGAAGGGGGGGAAATCATTGTAAAGTTCAACAAATATCTCTGTGGTCTAGATCAGTTCAGGCTGGAAACTGACAAACCACTGGTACCATCAGAGCAACAATAATGTTCCCATGATGTGTCAGTGTCTTCTCATGAGACTCACGAGATACAAACCTGAAGCAGTATATGTACCAGGAAAAATGCTTGTTGTCACCAGTGCTCTGTCTCAAAGCCCCCTGTCACATGACAAAGAAAAGATTGACATGCACACAGAGCTGGGCAGTTATGTGGTGTAATCCAAAGCATCCCTGCATC